CCCAGTGCGCCACCGGGCCGGCCCTGCTTTTCAGTTTTTAATTTCTTTGATTTATCCTCAAACTCAGAGATTTTTTTCTCAGCTATGTTCAGTCGTCTATGTTCAGTTTGTGAGAGTGTGGTGCCAATACTCTCAAGGACCACAGTTTGATTTCTATACTGGCCTGGCACCTGTGTATCTTTCTAACCATCTGTATAATTAAAGAATTTTCACTCATAGAATTTCAAATATGTTGGATTTCCAAACAGACCAAATCCAAATACATATATATATATAATGAATTATATATTGATATAATGAGTTTTATTAGTAGACTTTTTAATACTGAGCTTTTCTTTAATTGTGGAATAATTTTAGAAAATTTCTTCTGTTTTTTTTTTTTTTTTTTTTTTTTAAAGATGACCGGTAAGGGGATCTTAACCCTTGACTTGGTGTTGTCAGTACCACGCTCAGCCAGTGAGTGAACCGGCCATTCCTATATGGGATCCGAACCCAGGGCCTTGGTGTTATCAGCACCACACTCTCCCGAGTGAGCCACGGGCTGGCCGGAAAATTTCTTCTGTTTTTCACTTTCTATTTGTTTTCCTCTATCTTATGTTTAAGGATAAAGTGCTTCTGCAGACTCTATTGTTTTTTTTTTGTTTTTTTTTTGTTTTGTTTTCACTTGGAATCTCTTAGGTTTGCTCATTTATTCTGATTTCTTCAGGTAACATTGAAATTTTGATATCTCCCTGTCTTGGACTGAATGTCACCCCAAAACTTGACCCCCTCTTGTGACAGTGTTAGGATGGTGGATAATCCTATTATGGTAGTTGATAGATGGGGCTTTAACGATGTGATTAGATTGTAGGACCATACCATAATGAGTGGGTTAATAATGGTGGGCAGGGATGTGGTACTGAGGGCTTTAAAAGAACACATGAGAGGTTAACCTCTCCCTGCCCTGCCATTTTTTGCCTCATGAGACCCCTGGTCACTGTCATCTCCATCAAGGTCTTCACTAGCTGTGTTCCCTGGACTTTTGACTCCCCAGCTTTTGAATCTGCAAGTAATAAATTTTATTTTCTAGTAAATCACATAGTTCCAAAATACCCAGGTATTTTGTTATAAGCAACAGAAATGGACTAATACATTTTCCAAATCTTTATCTTCAGCTTAGATCTCTCTTGACCTCTGGAATCATGTATCCAATTGCAAATTGGACATTCCCACAGATATTTCAAGTATAATGTATTCAAGTCTGTTTTATTTCTGCCCATCAAATTTTTCTGTCATACTAAAAGCTACACTTTACAGTGCCAGTGCCTAATTAGCTGTAATTATGTAGAGAGCCTGAGAGTAAAAGACTTTTATTTTCTGCACAGGATTTTAGTACCACAGTGTCTTCCTGCTTTTTGTTTCTGTATTACTTTTCTCTTCTGTATGCTTCTTGCTCGGTTATTTATTTATTTATTTTCTATTGGTTGTCCTGTATGGGGATCTCAACTTGTGACTTTAGTGTTAACAGAAACATGCTCTCCCAAGTGAACTAGCTAACCAGCCTTGCTCTGTGTTCTAATACAGTTAGTCTTCAACCACCCTGTTTTCTTCTGCTCTGATTATCTCTAAAGCTTTTTCCATTCTCGTTCTTGTGGATGACTATTAAATTGCAAGTCTAGTATGTAACTGATTTGTATTTACAAAACTACATTTACACCCTGTTTTTAGAAAGTGGCAGTGTTGACTCTCATGCAGACACAAGCAGTCTTTGGCATGTGGGATGGAAATTTTGGAGTGCTTTTGTATATGATTTCAGTTTACAAGTATTTAAAAAATAGCAAATGCATATGATGTTTGGCTTTTTGAAGTAGAAAAATATTTAAATGCAGAACTATTCCATAATGTGTTTCTTTAATAGTGTGTGTATCCGTTATCACCACCCGTGGCATTCACTTAGACATGGTGCCGTGTGTAGTTCCATTAATGTGGGGTGTCTTCCTTTGCTCTTGTGACTGCAGTTTTACTGTTGCCTCATACTCCTGAGAACATGTGGTTCACATGGAAGAGCTTATCATCTTTGGCATTTCAGTGGAGTGCAAACAGAATGCAAAATAGAAATATATTTTGTCTTTCTTTCTGCATTCTCTATTGAACTTCTGTCACAATTTGTTAATCTGACACACTCATTCAGGTATGTATGTATACTTATGTTTTCAAACCTGCTTTTAAACTTCTTGGAGAAGCAGTATTTTATTCATACTTTTATAACTAGCAAGAAGAATGGTTCATAGCTATAAGGTAAGCTTTATAATCATGTTTTTACTAATTAATATATCATAAGTGACAGGATATTCCTGCTGGGATTTTTTTCCCTCCACTATATGGAGAATAGAAAAGTAGCACCTTATTTAACACATAAGACACTCATCCTCACACAGAGGTGTGAACTCTGAGATTCTATTTTGTGACCCAGGGCTGGTGGCTTGAATTGAGATCAATGTGCCATTACAGGAGTTGGTGTCACTTGAGGATGTGGCTGGGGACTTCACCTGGGGGGAGGGGGGGGGCTTGAATGATGCTCAGAGGACTTTGTACAGGGATGTGATGCTGGAGACCTACCATAGCCTGGTGTCTTTGGGTGAGTAAAATACCCCAGTAATTTTCAGGAGAAACATTTTGTTATTTTTTTATGAAAATAGGAATGGTTTATAGGGTTTTATGCTATTTGGTAAAATTACATTTAATGAAAAACATGTCATCCCCATCTAACAAAAGTTCCAAATCGGCCTCTTTATTGTATAATTTCTGGAGCTGAGCTCTTGTCATTCTTCTAAGGATCTGGCTTTGCAGTTTTATAAAGTCCTATATTCTTCCCATTAACAGGGTACTGCATTAGTAAACCTGAGGCGATCCTCAAGTTGGAGAAAGGAGCAGAGTCATTGATGATAGAAGAACAACCAAACCAGAGCCTCCCAGGTTAGTAAGCACATCCTGGGCAAAGTCCAGGAAGAATAAAACCCAGCAGATATTGTCTGTGTTCAGCTGTTTCTAGCAATTTTTCCACAGGTCCGTGAGCTGAGGCTGGCTCATCTTGCATCAAACACATGTATTGTATATTCGCAGATGGACTCATACATATATATCTCCATATTTTATTTTGCTGTGTTTTAAGAATGTATTTTCCTAAAATATGATCCCTACATTTCTCTTCTTTGACATTTGTGTTTGCTATTCACTTTTTTAGTATTTTATTTTGCCCTCATGTCCTGCACTCTTGTGCACATGTTTCTTCAGACTCTGTCCTTTTGTGTTACTTAAAACAGAATATCTGTAACTGGGTAATTTATGAAGAAACAAACTCTATGTCTTACTGTTCTGTTCCGGAAGCTGAGCATTCCAAGGTCTAGGGGCTGCATGTGGTAAGGGCCTTGTTTTTGGTGGTGATTCTTGGCAGAATCCCAAAGTAGTGCAGGATATCATAGGAAGCTGATCAGAAAATAAGAAAAGAGTTCCAGGTATGAGCCTTCTATACCACCACATCAGAAATTGTGGAGCTGAGGCAGACTGAGCATAGGGCATGGAAAAGGAGAGCTCTGGATTTTATAGAAGAACCAAGAGACTCATGGTGTGAAGGTCAAGTGAAACAAGGGTTTCAAGTTGAGGGACTGAGATTGCTGTTTGGAAATGAAATTTGAAATTAGTATTTTCCTCTTCTATTTGTAGAAATCATTTTAAAACAACAAATTTAGAAATGTACCGGAGACTTTTTTATGAACATAGTAGCCATCCAAAACTCCAGTGCATAATACTAAAGCTTTCATGAGCACTGAATTATCAAGTGGGAGTGTGTGTTCCAGAGTTTGGGAAGATAATACAGGTTGAGTTTATAAGGAGTCAAAAGCACCTTTTCAAAGATAGTGGGCAAAGTCTCTTGGATGCAGAACCAAATATTTTAGACCAGCAGGGTGTCTGTAGGGGTGGACCGAAGTGTCCTGAAGAGTAATGGTTTTTTGAAGCACAGGAAGTCAAATTAAATGAGTAATTTGTGGGAGGCTCAGTTTAGAGTAGGAAAAAGGAGATTTTATTATTTCAAAAACTTCCACATGTCTATGGCCATTACCTAAGGAAGAGTAAAAAGTATAGAAACATTAACGCAAAATTCTTAACCTAAGTCATTTTC